ACAGCCATGCCTCTGTTAACTTCCTTATCCATTTAGATATCTTCTGATAATATAACTTACAGAAATATGCTATTTCAAAATCATGCAACACTCACATTTTCCTCAGCCCATATACCCAAGGATTCTTCCAGGCTTATGCATCTACTGTGCTGTTAAGTGGTTGCCCAGCAGTTCATAGTGAACACCTGTTTATTAGCCCTTTGTTTAGTGTGAGGAACCCACTTTATCTGTCTGTTTCCCTCTGGAAGTTCATGGCACTTTAGTGCAATGGTTAGTTTGCTTCCTCCTGCACAAATAAAAGTATGTCTTTGGGTAGATGCTGGGATGTAGAATTAGTTTTAGTGACTCTTGGCAAATTGCTCTCCAAAAATGACTGTTTCGTCCTTCATACTACACTAGAGTGTTGGGACATCCTGCCATTTTAGTTTTGCATTGTCCTCTTCTAGTGAAACTGAACACTTTTTACTAGTCGTTTGTCCCCACTACCGATGACAATCGTTGTGAACTGTTTTTTTTGTTCACCTTTTACAAAGTAGCTCTGCTAATATACATACACTTTAGCTTGCTTGTTTATTTAGAATAATCTCCTATACTTTATTAGGTGATAGCTTTTAGGATAAAATATAGTTGTTTAAATCTGTTCTTTCTCTGCTGCCAACAATATAACTTAAGTTACAATGTATTCGTTCAGGCATGGTTGTAGGCCTTGAAACAATGTGATAGGCAGAACCAGCCATGATACCTGCTTTGCCAAAACTTACATGATAGGAATGATGGGGAATAGAGTGATAGGAGGAAGGCATTGATAATGAACCAGGAAGGGGGTGGAGACCAGGGCTGTTGGAGGAAGCTTCAGAGGGAAGATTTGGAGGCCGTGAGAGAGTGTGGTTACTTAGGAGCAAGTACTCCGTGACCAAAGCAGAGCTCTGGGGTGGGCATGTAGACCACAGAGACCACACAGGGCAGAGGTCAGCCTGGAAGGTACAGAGCACAGGAGAGGCATGGCCAGTGAGCCAGGCATCAGCACCCACTTAAAGCCCTGGAGAGAACCGTCATTGTGACAGACAGTGGAATCCCAGTACATGGGCCTTCATAAAACCCTGTGGGGAGTCCTGACTCCCATAATGTAAGAATCCTTGAGTCAGATGATCTTTTATATATATTTTATCATTTTGGAATAATTTTTAAAATGCACAAAATTCCAGTAATTGTACAAAGAATTCACGAATATCCTTCACCTGTGTTAATATAACACATTTTACTCTGCCTCTAAACATGTACTTATATAGTTATTATAATATATTTATTGCTTGTAAAGGAACAATCGGAAGAACAGACATACACATAGATACACGTATGACTTTCCCCTAAATCATTTGTAGATGTGAGACCCCTTTATCCCTAGTCACTTCCGTGTGTTCCTAAGGACGAGAATGAGCTCACGGTCACGGTGGAGGAAGTAAAGACGATGCTGTACTCTTGTTCCATCCATGAATCATTTATTTCACCACTTCTCCCAGTAAGGCCCTTGGAACTGTGTTAGTCTCTCTCATCTCTGTGGCCAAATAGACAACAGAAGCAGTCCGGAGGCAGGAAGTTTTGTTTGGCTCGGAGCTCCGAGAGGCATGGTTCTATGGTTGCTTGGCTCTGTGTTTCTGGGGCTGTCGTGAGACTGAGTGTCATGGCAGAAGGCATCACCAGAGGAAAGCCTCCATCTCCGGGCAGTCAGGAAGCAGGGAGAGAGAAAGGAAGGGACTGGGTGGGGGATCTTTTCCAAGGCCAATCCCAGTGATTTACTTCCTCCATCTAGACCACACCTCCCGATAATACCATTGTGGTGCGACTCTACCAAGCAGCTGTCCACCACATCAAGGCCTCAGGATCCTCTCAACAGTCACCTCTCCACAGATAGAGCACAGCTGGGGACCTATCCCTAACTTAGAGTGCTTGTGGAAGATGCTTCATATCCAAACCGTGAAAATAGCAAAAACAAAACAAAGCAAACCACTGAATCTGGTTAGAACACTGAAACCAAAGCTGTACATTGCATTTAGAATCAGGTGGGCTTGATGCTGCTTTGTTTTTCTCCCCAAGTTTATAGCTATTTATGCCCTTGGCCCATTCTGTCATTTTCTGATGGGGTAATCCTGGACAAGTTACTTAATCATACTGTGCCCCAGTCTCCACATGTGCCAAATGGAGAAAATAAAAGCATCCAGGAGGGCTTGAGGACCAAAGTGAGTTGAAGGGCTTAGCATAAGCACTGGTTTAAATGAAACCCTCATTGATTCTTGTGACTAATACTTGACTCTGCATGCTGCAAGTAGCCCTTCAACTGCCTCCCTCCCTCCCTCCCTCCCTCCCTCCCTCAGGTAACATACACAGAAGTTTTCAATGTTGATGATTGATGTAGACTCTCACAGCTTTGAACATGGAACGTGTTTTCCAGGACTAGCATATGATAAACATCTAGAATAATGTTTTTTCTCTATGTTGGTTACTGATGAATCTCTCCTAACCCCTGTTTTAAAATCCTGTCTTTAGCAGCCAGGTGTGGTGGCACACTCTGTAAACATGTCCTTCTGTTCTGAGATTCAGATTTGCATTTAACTCTCATGTTACCATTTTTCCTGTCTGTGGTACTTCCTTAAATTTTCTTTTTCTTATACGGCCTTGACACTTATGTGACTTCTCTGTGGTTTTGGAGAAAGTCGGTAATCTGGGTTGTCTGGTATTTTTCATGATCACTTTAAAACTGGGCACTGGGGGAGAAAAGTCCCTCAAAAGTGTTATGTCCTGCTCAGTGTGCAGTATAAGGAGCTCATGCTGCTGCTGTGTTACTGTGGTCAAAGTGGTGGCTGAGGGACTTCTCCAATTTTAATGAGTTAATCTATGGGGAGAACTTCATTGAGACTGCAATTATCCACACACGGGGGATATAATCCTAAGATATTATCTGTATAAAAGACCTAAAGGGCTACATTACTAGAAAGTAGCTCCTACTTACAGGCCCCATATTCCACCCCTTAACATGAAGCCCAAGGAAGAAGATGGCATTGCCAGAGTCCAGGGTCTAGGTCATGTGTGCAAGCCTACTCAATGAAGGCTGGAGCAGTGAAGAATGCCCACTGGGTGCTAGCTATGTCTTTAGAAGTAGATACAGGGCATGTCCTGGCATCTCCCTTCTTCCTCATTTGAGAAGCCCAGCCTGAGTCCAGATTACCAGGGAACCCAAAAGGTGCCCCCCTCTTCAGTACAGAGAGAGCAGAGATGGCCATGAAGTGGTCCTGATGCTTTCTTTACCTTCTCTCCAGAACTGTACTGTCCTGTACAGAGTGGTTGACCATGCGTGGCTCCTCCAATAAGAGGTGTGCACTGTTTGTATTCCAAAATCTTGGTGTACAAAAAGTGTTGTCTTAGTTATTGCTGTGACAAAGCATCTTATTTGGCTTATGCTTTCACATCACAGTCAATCATCAAAGAAAGCAGGCCAGGATCTCAGGCAGGAACCTAGCCAGGAATTGAAGCAGAGGCCATGGAAGAAGGCATCTACTGTCTCTCTCCCCAGAGATTGCTCACCCTGCCTTTTTACAACCCAGGGCCACCTGCCCAGGGTAGCACTTGCCCCCATTGACCTGGGCCCTTCCACATCAATCACTAATCAAGAAGATGCTCCACAGGCTTGCCTACTGGCCAGTCTAATGGAGTCAATTCCTTTGTTGAGATTCCTCCGTCCCAGATATGTTGAGATTTGTGTTGAGTTGGCAAAACCAACCCGCACAGATGTCAAAAAGCTAATTAATGTTTGTTTTGTTTTCTTACTATATAGTTCAAACTCAGGATCCTCTTGCCTTAGCTTCCCTTGTGATGGGATTACAGACATGGGCCCCTGTCTTATTTTTTTTTATCAACTATAAGTAATAATATTTTGAATGTATTGTGTTATGTCAGGCATATTGCTTAACTTAATACCTTAACATCTGGCTTCTAGGAACGGTAGCCATGTCTGTGGTTCATCTTTGTGCCATTCATTTTATTCCCTTGGAGCATCCTTGAACTTGGCCTATAACATCAGCATGAAAGGTCCTCCCTGCTCTAGACACACTGTCCTCAGTCACAGTGCGCATGCGCTGGCCTGGAGCCCTCCCTACTCAGCTCTGACTGGGGCCACACTCTTTCTGCTGTGTGTGCCCCTTGGAGTGAAGGCTAAGGTCAGCGAGGCAGAACTGGAGAGGTGGGCTAATGTCTGACACCATCTCAAAGCTGGCTTGCACTCAGCAGAGGAGGTCTTCCTGCTTCGGTGTGTCTGTGGGTGACAATATTCCTGCACGGCTCACAGAGTTGCCCAGCATCGCCACGGCCATTAAACAGATAACAGCATGGGAGAGAGCCCACGGATTCCAGTGGCTGCTGGTGCAGCTCATGGGAGTTTGTCAAAATGCTGATCCTTGGCTCTAACCCCACAGACACTGAGTCACCAATGGAGAGTGAGGCCCAGGGTCTTCCATATGACAGACTCTGGGGACACTTACGTAGATGGTAATTGACAGAACACTAGGCCATTCCTCAGCTTGAGCTAGTCTTCTGAGACCTGTCTGCAGTTTCTCCATGATGCCAGATCCATAGGCATCTGGAGCTGGGTGTATAGAGCTACACACACTTGCTGCCTTCCAGCTCCAGCCATGTCCCTTATCGTGATAGACAGCCAGCACGATGGTCAGAGGTGATACTGCTTGTCCAGAATAACTAGGTGTCGTGTTTGGTTGACTTTAGGATGTAGCTGGATCGTTATCTTTTTGTGAACTTAGGGCTTCCCCAGGCTATACCCAGGGGCCACCTTGATGTGGTGTTTAGATAGGGCACCTTCAACTACTTACTGGTCTTTAGGGGTGGGTCTGCCACTGAAAATGCCAAATGGGATTTCCCAGTGAGCCTGCTGGGAGGCGGAAGGAGGGTGAGCACGCGTTCTGCTGTCACTAACCCCCCTTTTCTACCTGCAGTGGACTGCGGACTGCAGAGAACAGCTGGATGGCAGCTGTTCCTTCTCCAGAGGGCGAGCCCCGCCACAGCAGGTAGGGAACCAGCTCTGTGCTCCATCTGGAAGCTGTCATGTGGTTTTGCTTTTCTGGGACCCTGGGGCTGGCCCGTGGGTGACTCCTAAATGATGGGGTTGAGGGAAGCAAGCAGAAAGATGGGAGGGAGGGAGGAAGGTATGAGGCCTCTAGGAAGCCTCCCTTGATTCCTTTGCCACCTCGGAGTACCCCACCCGCAACACATGGATTCTGAAGACTACTCTCAGGTGGCCTTTTATGAAATGCTACCTATCTGGTAACAACCTAGATGGCCACTGAGAGGAGGATGGTGAGATGATCTGTGACGTGTCCTTTGTGGAATATTGTAAGATGTCAGGCCAGCAAACCAGAACCTGGGGGCTGACATTGGTGGACCCCCAAGCACTCAGGGTTTGGAAGCTGATGGGGTGCTTTGGAAACCCCTTTTCGGGGTCTACCAAGGGCTGGGAGTGGAGCATGTGGAGGTGCTCAGAGGTCTGGACTCCGCAATCCACAGATGTTCAGGGGTAGGGGCTGTTCTCCTGCCAAGGCATTCTGGCACATCAAGGGTCTGCTACATGTCCAGGGGGTCCTGAGGGGCTGTGTGGCCAGGAGAGAAGGGAGGCAGCTGCTCCGGGGGACCTGTCCTGGTGACGTGGGTGGGCAACTTTTCCAGCTGCTCTCACTGATACCTTGTCCCTGCCTGTGAAAACCAGAAAGCTGGGAGCAGAAGAAGCCACTCTCCCCCGCCAAACCCCGCCTCAGAGTTGGCCTTTTCCCACCACGGATTCCACAGCCCTTGACCCTACAGTTGCTTTAAGGATCCATTGCCAGGATCACTGGCTTGGTCCCACCTCAGTCTCTTGTGCTAGTTAGAACTAGCTCATTGCTGAGGTTGCAGCTCAGTGGCCAAGCGCCTCCTTAGCATGAGCAAGGCCCTAGCCTCCACCCCAGCACTGCAGGGATAAAAAGCGCAACAAATTCCCCATCTCTATTCTGCTCCAAAGGAAGATACTTAGTGTCCTCAGTTCTGGATCATTTTTAGACTTCAGGATTCTGCTGCCCCAGGGTGTAGGGGAGACAACCATCTTCATAGTTCACTCTCGTAACATTTGTGTAATTGTTTCCACCTTCGTTAGGACTTCTGTTTGCTGTGATAATGACTGACAGTGACTTGGGCAGGAAGTGGTTCGCTTCTGCACTTCCAGATACAGACCGTCACTGAAGCCTTACCATGAGCATGCATCACCTTGCCCTGCCGTGCACATGCAAGTCAGGGCAGGAACTCAAGAAGGGCAGGGAACGGGAGGCAGGAACCAAAGCAGGAATCATAGAGGAGCGCTGTTCACTGACTGGCTCAGCCTGCTTTCTTATACAACAGCATCGCACACCCAGGATCAGCGCCACCCACCGCAGGCTGGGCCCCCCCACATCAGCCATTAATCAAGAGCGTGCCCAACAGTAGGCCAGTCTTATGAAGGCATATTCTAGATTGAGAGACCCTCTTCCCAAATGAGTCTAGCTGGTATCAGGCTGACTTGAAACCAATCAACAGTTTCCTTTTTTTAAAATTTTATGTTAATTGTACAGAGCACTTGATTTCATCTGGCCTTTCCATACATGTGTATTAAACTGCAGAGACAGAGCTCCGAGACAGGTTAGGGGCAGGAGCCTAGATTTTGGTTTTTGTTCTGCTGCTTGGTGGCCAGTTTGTCTTCCTCAGATGAAAACCGGATGATTCTGGATGGCCTCTGAGGGTCCTTTTAGCACATCTATCCCATTTGCAGATGCGTAAATTGGGGTACACAGAGAAGGGGGTCTTGTCCAAGCTGGACTGTGCACCTTGCACCCGGGTCTCTTGTCTGCCTGGTACCTACAAGCTACTTCTACCTGCCCTGTGACAAGTCATGTACTTCCACGGGCATCTCGGCCTGCTGTCTCCTTGGCAGGGCAACCCCATTTTCCCTCCTGAAGCATTTGTCTTGGCCTAAGCCTTCCAGCTCAGTGGCTGTTTCCAGTTTCTGGATGTGGCTGTCAGCAGTGATGGGAACAGGACAACAAGAACTAATGCTTCTTGGTCAGTATTCGTCCATTCTGGAATTTTCCAGGGTAGGGTCCTTCATTCTCTCGTTTTTCACTTTTTCCTGAGCCCCCTATCCCTGCCTTTGCCCTCTCAGACTGTCACTCCACACAGGCTCTCCAGAGGCTGAGGAAGGGCCCTTCTCCCACCCCTCAGCACCCCCACCCTGGTCTCCTCCGGGCTGTTCTTGCTTCACTGTTTATCCACTCAGAGTAGGTGAAGGGTTGGACTAGGCAGTGTGGTGGGGCAGGGCTTGTGGGATGACTGCCCTCCAGTGGGGTTCCGTGTGGCTCTTCACTGCCTAAGCACCTTGAATACACTATGAGGTCCCGCTGACCCACAGTCCCTACTTTGGGGAAGGCCTGGACAGTCTCCTGAGGTGAGCACGTTTCTTCAGAATGAAATCCAACTGGACACAGAGAGAAGAAACTGAAATGCTGTCTTGGCTGGTGGAACTGAGCCCCAGGTTCACTGTGGGGCAGGAGCCTTGGACTGGCGGTGACAATCTGAACATGAGCCCACCTACTTGTCCCTGACATAGCAGTAATAGCAGCAGCATTGCCACCAGCTGACCTGTGGCCCACTCTGGTCATCTCAGAAAGAGAAGGACAGGAGAGGCTGGGACACACCCACATACAATGAGCAACCGCATGGCCTACGCCTTGAAGTTGGGGTGAAGTCTTGCAGTGACTGTGTTGGAGAGTGGGGAAAGCTTGGCTTGCTTGCGTTTGGTTGGGGCGCACATGATGTCATGAAAATTGCTCAGATTCAAGGTAGTGGAATCAGGGGTCTGGGGTGAGGCCCTGGATCAAACTGATGCCGTGTTTCCTCCTTCAGGGACCTCTTCCTCAGGGAGAAGACCAAGCGTAAGGTGGAAATGAGCTCTGAACTCAGATACACGTGTCCAGGGGGCAGTGGAGAGTTGGGTGGGCTACATGGGGCCATGGAGAGAGCACCGCCTGACAGAAGGCTGAGGTGGCACCAAGTGCCACACCACCCTGTGGGGAGGCAAGAGTGGCAGGCAGCACTGCGTGTCAGTAGCAAAAGGCTTGACGTGTGGAGTTGGGGGACTGGGTGACACAAGACAGGAGACGCAGGACAGAAGTCAGTTTCTTTAAAGAGTGAGTATTGAGAGCAGTCCAACAGCTCAGCAAGGTCGGACTGGCTCCAGACTCCCCTCTGCTGGCCTGCATTCTTGGGTGTGGCTTTCTTCCATGTCCCGTGGTGTCTTCTTCTATCTCTGTGTGCCACCACTGGGAGTGCCACCCTGGGTCTCATCCCTGGAATCCCGACTCCTCCTGGAGCGGCCATCCTCTGAGGACCTCTAGGAGGGTCACAGGAAAGCCCCAGGGAGCTGGCCCGTGGCTGCCCTGCCTGGCTTTGGCCTGCTTGTGGACTCTGCTTGAGGAGGACCAGGGAACTGCCTGCTGAAGGGTGGGTGCTTCAACTTGGCATGAGCATCCTCCTCCCGTTAGCACATCCAAATACCTTCCTAATATACTCTGCTGTCTAGACAGACACCCTCACTGTAACTCATGTCACAGTCAAGCTGTTTCCTGTACCCGCCTGCTACCTCAGCCAAGTAACCCTAAGAAAGGGATGCCACTGGCCCCACATCTCAGACCTCCTGGCACAGATACTCGCATGCACCATTGCTGAGCCTGCCTCAAACTGGCCAAGGCCCAGGCTGTGCAGGCATTCCCTTAGTCTCAAAGAGTCTGTGAGCTTTCTGGGGTTACAATGACGGTGTGGCTGTAAAACCCCATGGTCACCCATGGGGACAATGACTTCTAACAGCAAGCTGCTCCTCTGACTGCCACACCTGGGACACTGATAGCAGGAATGCAGAGGTCATCAGGAGGAGGTGGTGATGGGACAGGTGGAGTGCTCTTCTTGCCTTCGGCCCAGGAGGCTACTGTGGCATTGCCTGATCCTGAATAGAGGCCAAGGGTCAGGCAGCACCCATGGGGATTAGCCATGCAGTGAGATGCTTATTTCTCTACGGCAGGCAAGGCTCTCGTTCTTTGGTTATTTCAACTAATGCAAAATAATACCTTGCCCTCTCTGGATGCTTTCAAACAAGTCAGCGTAGCCAGCAGGCATCCCATGAAGTGGGAGGGAGTCCAGATCAGAAAAGTGAGCCAACCAGCTTCCAGGGACCAGGATTCAGCTGTATCTGGCAGTTTGCCACTCCTGTCCCTCTTTCCATGAGGCTGCTACCACTAGTCATTTAGTGAGGATGATGGGGCATGTCCTGGCTGTCACGGCAGTGGGGGAAACACATGGTGACAGCCGAGAGGACAGCACGTGGAAAGGGAGACCAGTAGCATGGCATCCAGAGACCTTGTCCACATGTAGGCTGGAGGTGTCTGCTCCATTTGCTCATACATGCTGAGGGAAGGAAACGAAGGTGTAAAAACAGCAGAGCTTCTGTTTGAACCTTGAGAAAGACTTCCTGACTAAAGAACTTGATGGCCTGTGATAATGACTCTTAAGGCAATGGAATCAATCATTGCTGGGAATCTGATAAGCACACTTCTTTCTCAGACAGCTGACAGCCCATGGAGCCCTGGGAAATCTGGGGGAGTGTGAGGAATGATGCCAGGTTGGTCCGATGACTTGTAATCTCACCTTCTCTGGAATGGTAGGTGTGGTGTAGGACATCCCATTATGAGAGAGCCTTGCCCCTAGGTGACCCTGGAGTAACACTGATTCTAATTACCTCTTCTACCAGGAAGACATTGGCATAAGTCTGGGTTTCTATGTCAGCCTGCAAGCTGGTGCATCCATGACAGATTCAAAGGATGGCAGATGGCAGCTAGGAGGACATCAAACACGGCAGGCCCTGGCAAAGATCAGACAGAACTGTCTGGCTGGCTGACCAGCAACGGCAGGATGTGGGTTGTTGACAATTAAAAAGTCGTTAGTATGCCTGATGCCT